CTAATAGTTTGGTGATGGAGGGGGCTGTCAGAACTACTGTTCTCTCTAAGGATGCTTCTAGACTACATTCCTTTCGATAGAGGAATGTAAATGAAGGGAATCGAAAATGCAAACGAAGCACAGGTTAAAACCCTTTTTTGAAAGAACCTTTATTCCTGAAAAAAATGAAGTTTACAGGGTTCTTTCGAAAAAGGGATTTTTTTTTAAAAGAACCGTGTCTAGGCTTTTTTTTTCCGAAATAGCGATCAGATGCAATTATGCAAATGAAGCTCAAGATTTATAAATCTGTGCTTCATTTGCATTTTCGATTCCCTTCATTCGTGGCTGCCGCTTTTTTCCGGCTTGTAGATAAGTAGGAATAAGAGATCCTCCGGAAAAGAGCTTATTTTCTGGAGGATCACGTCCAGACTGGCACTTTTCTCCAGCTTATGTACAAGCTGGAAAAAAGCGGCAGGCATGAAAATGCAAATCCCGCGGGGGATATTTAAATCCCCCACGGATTTGCCTATTCCCAAGTGCTACATTAGCATCCCTATTACGGAATAGGGGCCAATGTAGACGTAGCCTAGAGGTATAACCTGCCCTTTCCCCACGTGGGTCTAGGGACTCACTCAATTCCTTCCATTATTTTTAAAAGGTGAGGGTAGGAACACCATTATTAGGTACTGAGGGTGCTCCAACCAGGATCACTTACCTTTTTTACTCTCCCATGTTCCCCACTCTAAGGCTATGTCTATACTGCACTCTAAACTTTAAATAACCTATGCAAATTGTGTAGGTTATTTCAAAATTTTGTGCTGTGTAGAAATAGTGCTGTAATAGCATGCCCCCATTATTTTGAAAAAAACGGGTGGCTTGTGAAGACAAATAGGATATGTCTGCACATCAGCTTTAAGTCACCGCTAAGGATATCTCCAAAGCACAACCTAAGATTATTAAAAAAAAACCACACCAAAGTGTTTTATCGAGTAAAGAAAATGGAGCCTCAATGGCAGGACATAAAATATTTTGACCTGGACCATGCTTATCCTAAGTATAAATCTGAAAAGTTAGCTCCTAATTTTCAGGTACATGGTGATTGTACAACTGCATGTGCTTCACTTTTGTAAAGCTTTGTACAATGTTCATTTAAAACAACACCTGCTTAGACAGTGCAAACCTAACAGGTAAACTGTAATTTTTGTTTATGGTCAAATACTTTGTAGATTTATTTCAGCTATTTTTATGTGATCAACAAAATTATTTTCATGTATTTTAGCATGACTACTTGAAGGCCTTCCATGCCTTGATAAACACACAACAAATCAAGAATTTACATGACACTAGGGCTTTAAAGGAAAATATTTGATGTTTTTAAAAAAAATCTACAGTGGCTGTATATCCATTAGAAAGGCAGGTTACACTATTGTTTTGATACTAGTTCTTGGAAAATTTGGACATGCAGATGCTAGAATGCTCTTCAGTTAACTAGCAGGTACTTCTGTAAATTGAACAGTCACCGTTTGATTTAGCTTGCAAATCAAAGTTGCCATTTTAGCAAAGGAGTCAGATATTTAAAAAAAAATCTGAGAGGATACTTCACAATACTCTTTAGTCCCCCTTCCTCCTGCTTCTATATAGTGAATACTGCTATGTTGTGAATTATCCAGCAACTATTTTCAGTAAAATGCAGATTTGTGCAAGTTTAAAAGCCAGAAAGTGTTTTAGTTTAAATGAGGAAACTGCTCCCTATACTACATTGTAACCATCCCTGCCTGCTGGTCTGTATCAGACTTGTGATACAAAGTTTTAACTTTTTTAAAGTACTTCCACACTCTGGACTGTTAGTTTTCAATGACTTTCTTTTTATAGAGAACTTGTTCTCACTTACATGCTGTGGCATGCATAGGAGATCAGTTATCCCACTAATCACCAAAATGCCCTAAAATTGCTAAGATTTCTCATGTTATTTCTCCTTTTTCTGAGTCTAACGCATGCCCCAGAGATGTGTGTTGTGTAATGTTTTAATAGGACAAGTAATATGGGTCATTGATATAACTGTGTTTGTCTTCTACCTTCCATTTTAGAACACAGCTCTAGATAAGGAAAGTCAGATTTTCTGCAGCAAGCACTCTCCGGACTCTAGTAGAGCTGGTACGCAGAAAACTTCTGTGATTATTGCTGCAGCTGAAAATCTTCATGTGGCTGGGTTCAAGAACCTCTCCTCTGCTTCTTCTGAGCCAATCAAATCCCACACACAGCCTCTCTCTGCCTGTCATGACAATGCTGAGGAACAACCCACTCTGTAGAAGCAATGTAAACCAAAGCCCCATTGCTAGGCCAGGAGACCTCATCATATCTGTAGTATTTCAGTTCTCACACTGTCCTATGGCTAGTCTAAGGCAGACTATCAGCATGCGTGCGGGTGGGTGAAATTTGTACTGTAGCCTTTGCCTTCTGAACATGGAGAGGGGAAGAAATTCTGAATTTTTTAGATTTGTTTTTAATCACTGGTGTTGGTTTAATGCAGTGTTTCTCACACCCTAGGAATCTGACTAGCTTAACCTGACCTAGTTAAATAAGAACTTCAAGTGGATGAACAGTGTCAAGGCCTAACTTCTGCAAACACAAACACTCCTGGTCAACAGAACTTGTTCTCAGAAAAGGGGGTATGCACACAGACGAAGCTGTATTTGTCTCCTGTCCCAGTAACTATAATGACTTGAGTTTAGCTGAGCTGAAGAGGCAAGTTGCTGTGAAAAACTTTAGTGGATTAACTGTACAATATTGAAAGGAAAGGGATTCTTTTTCTCTACTACCAGACTTCAAGATAGTGTTTAGATCATATGAACGTCAAGTGACTTTGGATATAACAACATGGGCAGTTATTGGTCTGAAGACTGCAGCTAAGGAAGCTTTTTCATTCTAGCTATTGCATATCCTCCCCCCACAAACTTCAGTATCCATTAGAAACAATAAAACTACTTTGAATGGAAAGCTTGCTGCATGTTACATAAGCTAGGATGGAACAGTTCCTAGTTCTAAGGCAAGCTGACTAACAAGAGCTGCCACATATTTTATTACCATCCTCTTCTTCATCTAGTGCAGGAACTGGAAAACACACTGGAGGACCACTGATCCTTAATCTGCAGTCAAGGATGGAAAGCATTTTATCTCTGATTCCGCTTGGTTTAATAGTGTGTACTCAACTTATTCATTTTTCTGCTTGTTACTGAGACAAATTGGTCCTAGTTCATTTTCTTTGTTAGCTATTACTTTCTACTAGAATTGTAACAGATCTGCAATAAACTTTCTTCCCAAAAAAGAAAAAATAGTCATTTATTCCCGTGAGAACTCAATTTCCAGACAGCGCTAGAAAGTTGAATGGATCAGTAAGGAACAACTGTCCCGCTTGAGACACTTAAGGTCCTTATTCTCAAAGAGCAGCTCAAAACATTCACAAAAGATCATGGGCACTCCTACTGATTGTGTCACAATGTGCTGGTTTCCTTTGGAGACAGTCACTCATCTGGCCCTCGGTTTTTAACGGTAACTTGAATTTACAACATGACTATGGGCTTTGCTGGAATTATGACATGCTTATTATTGTTGGCATGGGTTAGTGTGATTTGGTCTTCGAAAAAAAATTTGTTGGCTGCTTAATTAATAGATCAGCAGCAAAGACCCTATCTATAGTTCATTAAACTTGTTTCATTTACTGGGATAAGGGGAAACTGTGTCTGATCTTCTATTAAAAACACATTTGCTACATCTAGACTGGCAAGATTTTCTGCAAATGGAAAAGTTTTCCGTTAAAAGCATTTTCGGAAAAGAGCGTCTAGATTGGCACAGACACTTTTCCACAAAAGCACTTTTTGCAGAAAAGCCTCCGTGCCAAACTAGATGTGCTTTTTCGCCATTTTTGCGATCGGTGCTTTTTTGTGCAAAACAAATCTGAAGCTGTCTACACTGGCCCTTTTGCCTGAACGGGAGCAGCATAGTATTTCTGTAAGAAGCACTGATTTCAGATAGTAGGAAGTCAGTTTTCTTGTGGAAATTCAAGCGGCCAGTGTAGACAGCTGTCAATTTTTTCCACAAAAGCAATTGCTCTTGCGGAAAAACTTGCCAGTCTAGCCCTAGATTGAAGCACTGCTACTCATAGAACCATAGAGCTGGAAGAGCCCTCAGAAGGTCATCAAGTCCAGCCGCCTGCTCTACGCAGAACCAATCCCAACTAAATCAACCCGGCCAGGGCTTTGTCAAGCCGAGAAACACCTCTAGGGACGGAGACTCCACTACTTCCCTAGGTAACCCATTCCAGTACTTCACTATCCTCCTAGTGAAATAGTGTTTTCTAATATCCAACCTGGACCTCTCCCACCACAACTTGAGACCATTGCTCCTTGTTCTGCCATCTGTCACTACTGAGAACAGCCTCTCTCCATCCTCTTTGGAAGCTCCCTTCAGGAATTTGAAGGCTGCTATCAAATCCCCTCTCACTCTTCGCTTCTGCAGACTAAACAGACCCAACTCCCTCAGCTTCTCCTCATAGGTCATGTGCTTCAGCCCCCTAATACTAATGCAGATTGATCCCGTCCAAACCATGGCATTACACAAGTATATACTGGCAAGTATGACAATCATATCTCAGCCTCAGAGTACAGAAACTAGTCAAACATCATGCAGCTGGTGATGTTAAATGTACATAATGTATATTAAACATGTCCTGGGTTGGGCCTACAGGAAGAAGTGTGATTTTCAGATGGGTCATGAAGGGCAGAATATAATGCAATGCAGGCTGCATCGAGGGTGCACTATGTTGAAAATGACAGTGGGACAAAGAGGATGAACTGGATGATTGTGTAAAGGAAGAACCAGCAGAGAGCAAAAAGAGGGCTAGACACAGTTGGAAGAATGGTCAAGGTAGACATTGAGGGTAACAGGAAGAAGTGTGATTTTCAGATGGGTCATGAAGGGCAGAATATAATGCAATGCAGGCTGCATCGAGGGTGCACTATGTTGAAAATGACAGTGGGACAAAGAGGATGAACTGGATGATTGTGTAAAGGAAGAACCAGCAGAGAGCAAAAAGAGGGCTAGACACAGTTGGAAGAATGGTCAAGGTAGACATTGAGGGTAGAGAAACCCAAAGAAGCTGAAAAGTGATAAGGACCTAGCCAAGTACTTTAGGTGTGGAGAGAACCTATG